GAGCAGGTAATGTGTTTCTTTTTAGTGGCTACTTTTCATTTTCTCAATCCACAACATTGCATATATCATGTCAAAAGTGAGTCAAGTTGAGATGCAATCATAATTCTTGCATATTTAGGTAACTCCTAGTGATTGATTATTTTAGATGAGGAAAGAAGCTGATGATATTGGTCCCACAGCAGAACTTGAACACTGGAAAGAGAGAATGGCTAAGTTTAATGTGTAAGTTATTGTACATGTGACATCACACCTACAATAATATATCTGAAGAATTATTTAATTTAATTTTAAGCATAAAATTTTCAGATTTTGCTTTTCCAAAAACCATATATATATATCCAAGTCATGTGTCAATCACCTGGCATTCTGCATGTTAACTCTCTTTGAATATCCATATAAGATCTTCATATACTTTGTAGCCGTGGGCTCTGTATGACTCAACAAGTATTAATTAATCTGAAAATACTTCATGCTCTTTATTTGTTAGACTTGTTTATGTCCTGCTGCTTGAAAAGAAGATTGCAAAAAATGAGCTTTTGTCAGAAATTCCAATATTCCTATGGCACCAAGAAAATTTGTTCTTGCAAAACAAAAACAAACTCGCCTATTTAAATTCATAAACACTATATTAGGCTTAAAATTTGTCCTTCTCATTTCTATTTTATTTGTGTTTTTTCAACTTTTACTTGACCTCTCAATGTTGTTGTCTAGCCTTTTAGATCAGGTGAAGAGTCATCATTGTAAAGCTACTGTGGGAGTTCTGCATGCAGCAAAATCAAGAAGTTTGAAACACTGGAAAGAACTGGTATGATGCTTGTTATCACATTTACTTATTAAGTTAACAAATCAATCAAACTGCATTATTTTGCACCCTTTCACATACTGTAAGTCTTCCCTTTTTAGTATCAGTCTGTCATATGCTTGTGAATATATGAAAGTCGTATGTGTGAACTACAGTTAAAGAAATTAATATGAGAGTGATCTTTGCAGTAATTAATGAACACTTGTCTAATAGGCAGTAGCGAAAATTAGGTCTGTGATACTGGTGCAGTGCTCTACCAACTGAGCTAACAAGCCAACTGGGAGCTATAGTCATTATGTAATTGGTTCATAATAAAACTTTTACATAATGATCCCCTTTCAGGCCTGAATTATATATTTCGGGCCTCTTTTTCACCACTGCTTATTTAAGTAGTGTTCATTACTGTGAAAATTGCTCTCACATTCAGTCTATTATATTGAATGGATGTAAATTACATGAACCTCCATTATTACTTCTGGGGGTGACCCAGCGGTACTTCAATTTAGTTTACAAACCATTCATGCAGTAAACTGAGTACTGGGCTTCAAACTCAGATTAATCCAATATGCTAGCTTGATTCCTTTCTTGTTAGGTGAACTTGGACTGTATGACACGTGCAATAGTAACTCGAGTCAGTAAAAAACTGTATAGTTTTAGGTCAGAGCAAAATTTTGGTGTATAATAATTAGTTTTGTTTTACCAATCCAGGATAGTAGAATCACAGATGCTGCTAATGAGGCTAAAGACAATGTGAAATACCTGTACACCCTGGATAAGTTTTTTGGACCATTAATCAAGTGCTCTCCGGTAGGTCATGGTGAAGATCACTCAATAGGGCTTGACACTAACGGTAGCCCACTAGCCACAGACTAGTAGAAATTTAGTCTTAGCTAGTGGTTTACAATTTCCACTAACCAGTTTGGCCAGTAAACAAACTGAAATTGTTGTAACATCTAAGATGTCACTAATTAGCCACTTGGCTAGTAAGTTGAAAAGTTAGTGTTGAGTCCTGCTCAATAATAAACTGTTAATGGAATCACATCGATGAATAAAATCTTGCTCTCAGATTGGTTAACAAAGCAAGGTATTTAGCTTGGAATTGAAAACATTAGGCTAAGTGAAATTGTTTCACATCTACGTATACATAACAACGTTAAAGTCCTTCTGTGACAAAATTTTTGCACTTTATTTTCCCAATTTTCTGGTGTTAACTTCACATTTAGACCCTAAACTATAAGAATAAGCGTAAGTTTCTCAAATTTGACAACGTTATTCCTTAAAAACAGCGCTGCAAAGACATTAAAAATTCTTCCGCCATTGCTCAAATAACACACTGGAGAGCCCACGAAAATAACTACAATGGTTTTAGTTGTGACGTCATTGACTCACTTCGACAACATCATGAAGGTATACCTTTACAAGAAATATGCAAAAGAAAGCTGGGGAACAATTCTTTCCAATTTGATTCCTGCTTTCCTGCGGAACCAGAAAAACATCTCTCTCTCGGCATACCAAATTAGCCACTTTGTTGAGTCGTTGACGTCACTTCCGTTCTCGACCCAGTTTCTTCTACTTCGCATGGAGTTCTGTAGTTTGAAGAATGGCGGCCGTTTAGATCGCGAATTTACAGGGAAAATAATATTACTTCTTAATGGAGTTTTGCCTTTAGATTTGGCAAATTTGATACTTAGGGTAAGTACTTTCAACCTCTGAGGAGAAAAGAAAAGGTGCATTTTTGGTCGCAGTAGCACTTGAAGTAATGCTGTTTTCTTTTTTTTCTTAGTTTTCGATAATGTGATTCAGGAAAACCCATTACTTAAACTCGTGAATTCCTTGTTAAATTGCACTTGAAAACAGATATTGCACAAATCGTGAAGCAATGAATGCAATATTGGTTTTTGTGTGCAATTTAATGTGGAATTCACGAGTCAAGTAATAGATTTTCCTATGATATCTTTGCTGTCTTAACCTTTATGTTTGTGGTTGAATCTTGCAGACAGAAATGGTGGAACACATTCCCAGCTTGATGAATGCCATCCGAATGATTCACAGCATCTCTCAGTACTACAACACATCGGAAAGAATGACATCTCTGTTTGTCAAAGTCACAAACCAAATGATAACAACTTGCAAGGCTTATATCAACCGTGATGTTATGAAGATATGGGAACATCCAAGGTACTGTACAGTCAATAACCTGAGGATTTATTAAAATAATTTAATTTACAAGTGATAGTTTGTAGCACACTAAGTGTTGAAGATTGGTGTGAAACTTTGCAGGTGTAAGAAACATCTCTAGTTTATTGCTCTGTTTCACAGTTTGACTACTTTTACTATAGGGACAAGACTGACCGTCCTGCATTCCATTGACAGGAACTGAAAAAAGTTGTCATAATGATTTTGATCCTTAAATTATTGCCCTGATATGATTTCAACTGGAGTTCTAATATTAGATACAATGAATATATGAATTAAGTTCGTATATTTTGAACTGTGGTATTAGATACGTATGATGCACGATCCTCGCAGTAGAGAGCACTTTTTATGCAATAGCGAAAATCAGACCTAAAAACAAAATCAGGCCTGTACGGGATTTGTACCACTGACCTCTGTGATACTAGTGCAGCGCTCTACCAATTGAGCTAACAAGTCAACTGGGAGCAGGCCGTTAAGTTGATTCGTAATAAACCCGTGATGATAAATCAGATACAATGAATATATGAAATTCATATATTTTGAACTGCGGTATTAGATACGTATGATGCACGATCCTCGCAGTAGAGAGCGCTATTATTTTATGCAATAGCGAAAATCAGACCTGAAAAAAATAAGAAAAATCAGGCCTGTACGGGATTCGAACCACTGACCTCTGTGATACTAGTGCATCATTTTCAGGTCTGATTTTCACTATTGCATAAATAGCACTCTCTACTGCGAGGATCATGCATCATATGTAGTTATAATATTGTCCTTTTCCTTTAAAATGATTGACTGATTTTTTTACTAGTGACTCCAGTGAAAGAAGTGACAGTCTTCAATTTAGCAGACTCAAAAACATTATATTTACTCTATCTTCAGGGAGGTTTTATCAGGAAGACTGAATGAGTGCATTAGACTCAATGAAGAATATCAGAGGTGCTTTCACCGAACCAAACAAAAGCTCAGAGAAAATCCCAGCGAGAGACAGTTTGAATTCAGGTAAGCAAATCAACTTTCTGTTCCTAGTACATGCTTTGCTTCTGAGGTTACATTTTGAAGTACCATACTTACTTATCCTGAGTAGTGCTGGAACTTGATTTGGACATGGTCTTAAAATAAGTGAGGAGAATTCGCTACCTTTCTATAATCAAGAATTGGATAGATATTCTGGTCTTCATCGATAAGGACGAATAAACCGTAGGCCCCGTCTCCTGCAGGGTTTGGGGTAGCAGACGTTAATTTCCCACGCACGAGAATGCTGTGTGGTGGATGTCCTCACCTGGGTGGGATGG